GACTTGTGGTTAGCCAGTGGGGTGAGACCAAAGTCCTCTTTGGCTGGCTGGTTTGGTTTGCCTTAGAGGTAGAAAAACCCCAGCCTAGGGCTGTAACTGCCCTGTTTTAAGCGATTTGTCCTGAATTGGCACTCTCAGTTGGGTCCCGCCAGAACCGCATCGTTACACCTGCCCTCTGCATTACGTATCACTCTCCGAATTTTCGGGCCATCGGCAAACTTCATCCGTGATGATTTGATGTTTTCTTGCAGGTCACCGATAAAAATGTTACCTAGCAAAGGGCCAAGAACCGTTCCCAGCAGGCCCCACTGGGGAACACCCGCCCGAAGACTCCCCAGCTACAGAGAGTTGGAGCCCTGCCTTTTTGCGTGGCCTTGCAGCATTCTCCATCTACTACTGCCCTCAGCCGCCAAACCGGCCCCCGCCGCAAAGAGGGAACCCCAGCTAGTCTGACGGTCCATTTCCCGGGAGCCCCTCTGAACTGGCACTATGCCGTGACCCCGCCAGGCCCGGGGCTCCCTCCTCACCTTCAGCTTGGAGGGCTGGAAGGCGTGGTGGGTGCCCTTCCAGAGCGCCCGCAGGAGCACAGCGAAGCCGATGGCCAGGCGCCCTCCCGTGCCCAGCGGGTTGGTGTAGTTGATCTCAGCCTCGAAGGAGCGATCTGCAGGAGACAAGCAGGACAGGGTGAGCCGGGTCCCTCACAGCAGCACCCCAGCCCCAGGGCACAGCCACCGCCCCCCACTCACCATGGAAATAGTCCCGCAGCTCCCGCGTGTTGGACAGGGACTGGATGACACTGTTCATGAAGCAGGTGTTCCCCAGATTCACCAGCCCCGTGAAGCCCGGCAGACACACCTTCTTCTTCTCCTCCTCCTCCTCGTCCTCCTCCACGCTCTCACTGCTCACCGGGCTGTGCGTCATCGGCGGCACCATGCACATCGGCTTGGGCTGCCATGGCCGAGGGAGAGAGAGGGACAGGCCTGAGCGGGGCCCCTCGCTGCAAGGAGCTCAGCTGGGGCAGGCCGGAGCAGTTGGGAGCTCCTCCCCCAGCCAGCGCCCTGCCCCGCCCCCACAGCGCCCTGCTAGGAGCTCCCCCCCCCAGCCAGCACCCTGCCCCGCCCCCCCAGCGCCCCCTGCTGGGAGCACCCCCGAGTCAGCGCCCCCTGCTGGCAGCTCCCCCGAAAGCCAGTGCCCTGCCCCGCCCCCCAGTGTCCCCTGCTGGGAGCTACCCCACAGCCAGTGCCCTGCCCCACCCCCACAGCGGCTCCTGCTGGGAGCTCCCCCCACAGCCAGCGCCTTGCCCCACCCCCACAGCGGCTCCTGCTGGGAGCTCCCCCCACAGCCAGCACCCTGTCCTGCCCCCACAGCGCCTTGCAGGCAGGAACAATTCCTTTCCGAGAGAAGTGCTGCCTCTCCCAGAGCAGAAGGTGCTGTGGGCGGGTCTGCAGGTGCCGGGAGCTGAGCCCTCCTCTCAGCGCTGGCAGTGAAGGAGCTGAGTGCATCACTCTGGTGTCTGGGCCCTCGTGAATCTCGCCGGCTCACGCCAGCATGCAAGTGCTCACTGAGGGGACATGCGGTTCCTGCTTCACTGTGACGTGCTCTGTGGCCGTCCGGGCCGTGACGCCCTCCAAGCCACCGTCCTCTGCTCTGGGCTTCTCCTTCTCCCCTGCCCGAGCCTCCTCCTTACTGGACAGGGGGTGCTGGTTACTGCCCGGCTGGCTCTTATCCAGAGGGGTAGGGCCTGTTGGCATGGCAACCTTCGCACCACCCACTGCACCTTAAAAAGGGGGACAGGTGGGCTTGTGGTTAGCAGCGGTGTGGGCACGGGCAGAGCAGCTCATGCTCCCATCCCCAAGCTCTCCCCCGCCCCCAAAGCCGGCAGGGCCCTCCCACGTCCGAGCTCCTCCGCCCCCAAAGCCTGCAGGCCACCCCCCCCCATGCCCAGGCCCCACTCCCAAAGCCGACAGGGGCTGCCCCATGCTCGGCCCCCACCCCCAAAGCTGGCAGGGCCCCCCCACGCTCGGCTCCCGCCCCCAAAGCCGGCAGGCCACCCTCCCACACACGCCCAGCCCCCGCCCCCAAAGACGGCAGAGCCCCCAGGCTCCCCTGGCCCCATACTCAAGCTCCCTCCCCCAGCCTGCACTGTACGTGGGCAACGTCTGCCCTCCCCTATCAGAGACGGGAACTGAGCTCCCCCTGGGCGGGGGGCATATAGAGCTAAGGCGAGGGGAAGCCAAGGAGCAGACCTCGTGCAGCTGGGGCTTCCAGCCCCCCCCCAGCGCTGGCTGTGGCGTTTCTTCAGGCAGATGTTGATGCGGGAGACGGTGAAGTTGTACGTGCACTGATCCGGCTCAATGAGGTTCCTGGGGACAGGAGAGCAGGCTCAGGGCTGGCAGACATGAGGCAGGGCCCTCGCTGGGCTCCAATGCAGCTGGGACCTCTTGCAGGGTAGGGGGTCGGCAGCGCGGAGGCGCTCTAGGCTGGGCCAGCCTCCTGCCAGCGCAACGCCACCACTGATCCGCCCAGCCCCGCGCGTCGGGGGGGGCGGGTCAGGTGTGTTGTGTCCAGCATGGTCTAGGCTCTGCCTGGTCCCCTGGCTCCCCACCCTGGGAGCGCACGCCAGGCAGCTTGCACCTTGGCGGAGGGCACTACGTACCAGGGCAGCAAGCGCTGTCTGCCCCGCCGGCCCCACTTCGGATCAGCGCAGACGGAGCTGCCTTGCGCAGTGCCATCCGGGGCAGGGGCTCTCTGCCCCTTGACGCCCAAAGGGGCATTGCTTGCACAAGGCCAGGGGCAGTGGGGATGGACCCCAGGGGTCCCGTCCCAGTCCTGTGGTCCTGCCACGAGACCAATCTGTGCCTGGCTGGAGGAGAGCAGGAGCAGCAGGGTACTGCGGGGCCAGCACCTGGTACCTGAGTTTCACCTGCCACCTAAACACCGTGTGGGGGCCGCAGCTGGGGTGTAGTCGCAGGAAGTTGACGTCACTGCAAGGAGAGGAGAAGGCAATCAGAGGCCACGCGGGGGAGCACCTGGCATGCTGCAGCCCCCGCAGGGCGCGGCCAGGCCCGACGCTCGGCAGTACCTGGTCCGGAACACCAGCGTGAAGTCCTGCTCCCGGAACAGCACCTTGGAGGTCTCCCTGTGGATCTCCTTCACGTAGACGTGCACCACCACTGAATCACTCCCCTTCTCGTACGAGTCGTTCTTCACCAAGCTCAGGCTCACGATGGGCTCTGGCTCTAGGACAGGACAAGGCCAGGTGGGGCGCGAGGCGGCTGTGCCCTGGGAGCCCCCCCGCCACCAGCGCCGCAGGCAGACGGGCCCCAGGACTCAGAGGGGAGCTCTGGGCCCAGGCTCCCGTTCGCTGGGACGGCAGCACCGCCCCTCAGGGAGCCAGGCGCCCTTGGTTCCCACGCCGCCGGCCGGCAAGGAAACGGAGCAGGCTCCCGATAACTGGAGGGGCCCGGAAAGCCACGGCCTAGTGCTCTGGTTCCCTCCCCCTCTACACTTACCATCCGCTGCTGCTTCCAGGGCAACATCCTCTTTGGACCAGTCTCTCTTCTCAGCGTCTCTGCCCAGCGGAGGGGAGGCGGGGGCCAGGGTAGCCTCGGGGCCCTCGCCAAGGGCTGGCGGGCACTGGGAGACGGCCGGCTGCAGGGGTCTCTTCTCCAGGCAGGGCGCCATGTGCTGGGGAAAGCTCTCCGAAGGGGCAGCGAGCGGCTGCATCCCCACAAGCACGGGCTCCTTCTGCAGCTCTTCGGCCTTCACGTGCAGAGGGGGAAGGTGAGACATGGGGGGTCCCCCCGGAGCTGGGGCCGGCCCCTCTCCAGCCGTAGCTCTGCTCTACGGCCCCGAATGGCCAGGCTGCCAGCTCGGCCCTAGCCCCTGCCAAGCGAGGGGAGCCCCCTCCGTTCCCACCTGCCCTGCCCCCCCGCGCAGGGTTTCCTGGGGCGCAGAAGGGACCCTGGGCTGAGCTCCAGGGCTCCTACCCACCCAACTGCCAAGGGCCAGAGTGCTGCGCCAGGAGCGGGGGCACCTTCCCTCTGCCCAGAGACCAGAGCCAGGTGGATGCTGGGCTCTGGAGTTCCTCAGCCCCAGGGTGCGAGCCTGGTAAGTCAGCCAGTCAACAGACTGCTGGGATCCAGCCCCTCACGGCCCCCACCCCAGGGCGCCCACCTCGGCCCAGACAGAGAACCTGAGCCGGGGACTCAAGCAAGCAGCCCAACATCCTGAGGCTGTGGCAGGGCCGGGCCTCCCCGTTTCCACGCCCCAGCCAAGCCTGCAGGGGGGCTCCAAGGAGCACCACTGGGAGACTGGGACCCCCGGCCTCACCCTGAACGAGGGGTTCCTGACCCCGGGAGAGGGGATGGGGCAGGACAACGCCTGTGATGGGGGCAGCAGGATCCCCAGTGCCCCCCGCTTACCTTCACCAGAGACGGGGTCAGGTCCGTGGCAGCATCGCCGTGGGCTGCTCGGCCGTTCTGCCGGCTGCCCCCTCTCCCGCTGGGTCCCTTGCCAGGCTCCAAGCCCCCAGGGACCCCGGCATTTGGCTCCTCCTCCATCAGAGCCACCTTGAGGTACCCAGCCCGTTTGGCGCTGGGCCCGCTTTGCAGCCTGGGGCTGGCCGGGCTCTTCCCTTCTGGGGCCTCGCCCCTCCCTGGAGCTAGCTTCGAGTTCGGGAACTCCCGCTTGCTCCTCGCCGGCTCCTCGGGGGCGGCCTGTGCGGGCGGGGGCTGCTCCTTCCCGTTCTGGCTCATGGCCCCCTTGGCTAGCTCCTTGGATCCGTCCTTCCGCTTCTTCTGGGAAAGGTAACGGGGCCCGTTGGGACGGCTGTGCAGCCGGGGCCCTGGCCCGAACGGGGCCCTCCCCCAGCCGTGGGCACGGACCCCGCGAGCAGCAAGGCGGGTGCAGCTCCACGCCATTGGCAGAGCCATGGCCAGCCTCCCACCGCCCCGGGCCAAGGCAGTGGCAGCCAGGCCCTCCGTCCAGCGGGACGCTCAGAGACGCCCGCAGTGCCCACCCTCCTCTCCCCAGCCCCAGGGAGCTCAGCTCCCTCTCCCCTCATCTCCAGTGGGCCCTGCGGCGGGTTCGGGGTGCGTGGCCAGCAGGGCCGGCTCCAGGGTTTTGGCCGCCCCAAGCAGCCAAACAAACAAAACAAAACAAAAAAGCCGCGATCGCGATCTGTGGCGGCAATTCGGCGGGAGGTCCTTCGCTCCGAGCAGGAGTGAGGGACCGTCCGCCGAATTGCCGCCAAACAGCTGGACGAGCCGCACCTCTCCGGAGTGGCCGCCCCAAGCACCTGCTTGGTAAGCTGGTGCCTGGAGCCGGCCCTGGTGGCCAGGGCCTGCCACAGCCTTACCAGGAGCGAAGCCCAGGTGTGCAGGGGGATCTTCTTCTGAAGCACCAGCTGCAGGAAGTTGCCCTTCTTGCCCTGGACTTTGCTGCAGGAGCTCTCAATTTCCCCGTAGAACTGCCCACTCCACTGGCGGCCATCTGTGGGCACAAATGGGGCCCTCACAGCTAGGGCAGGCACAGGCAGGCGCTGCTGCACTGCGAAGGGACTCTGCTCAGGGGGCCCCGTGCCTCCAAAGGGGGCTCCGGACAGAGTTCAGGCCTTCAGCGCCTCCTGCCGGGGACTCTGCCAAAGGTGCTGCAGCAGTGAGTCGGCTCCCCTTTGCCGCAGGCCGGCCCAGCGCTGCCTTTGCAGAGGGGCTGCGGGGCTCTCACCCCGACAGTCCATCTCCACGTTGCCTGCTCCCCCGCAGCCCTGACAGCCTCTGCCACTGCCACGCATGGGGGGGAATTCCAGCCGCTGGGCTGCACCATCTTCCGACAGTTCCGTATGCCGCCTCTGGTCACGCTCTGCCACGTGCTTCCCTGACTATGAGGGGCCTACAACTCACCATTCTCCGCCAGCCTGCTGCTAAGCCCAGCACCACTTCTTCCCTTCGGGATCATACCCCAAATCTCCCTCTGTTCAGCTGCTTCCTTTCTGGCTGGGGACGCGCGGGGAGGGGCCCCAGACCCGCTCAAGGTTTCAGCTCTTTGTTTGGGACTAGCCTCCAGGGTCTGTCGTTTCCTGTGCAGAGAGGGTGTCCCCGACAGGCCGGGCAGGTACCAGGAACTAGTCTCCATTAGGCCCTGACCCAACCCGCGTGGCTACAGAAGGGCTCTGCTGAGAGCTGCCTCTCCCGTCAGCGCGCTCCAGCTTGCTGTTCCCAGCGGTACCCTCTAGGCTGGTGGCTCCGGGGCAGGCCAGATGGGGTTGGGTCCGCAGGGAGCACAGAGTATGTGGCCCAGCTCCACACACTGCTCTGGGTTACCTAGGCTATCTAGTGCTTTCTTCTTGCCCCCCACCCCTTTTGCCCTGCTTGGTACTGCGTGCTCTGGTTAGCGGAGGACACGGGCCCAGCGCAGCCACGTGAGCCGGTGATGGGGCGTTCCGCTCGCCTGTCTCCAGGCGCCAGCCATGATCCTGCCTTGAGCAGCTGTTACCTGGCAGCCTGACCACGCAGTCGGTGTCTGTGAACGCAGCATCCACCTCCTCCAACTTCAGGGCCCCGCTGCCCAAGTTCAGCTTCACAATGACCTCGTCAGCGTTCTGCTTCCAGTCCAGCAGCAGGTCTGCAACAGCAGAGGGACAGCGTCACTCCCGGCCCACTCCGGGGAGCAAAGAGGCACTCAGCACGCTCCAGGAAGGGATTAGTGGGAGCCCCTGGGGAAGGGGGCGAGAACGGGCGCAGCTGGGAAGCCCCAGGGGCACAGGGCCAGGCAGAGTTGCTATGGCCCCGCCCCAGGGACACAGCGCCCCAAGAGGGAAGAGCAGCTCTCCCCGTGCGAGCTGCTCCGTCTCGTGGCGGCGCGGCGCCCAGGCGGGCTCGCACTGCAGCTGGAGGGGGCTCTGAGCCGCCTGATTAGCAGTCCCAGGCGGGGGGATGCCAGCCGCACCGCGCTCGCTCCCCAGGAGGGCCGGGCCAGGCCGGGGGCTGTGCTGGAGAGCGCGGGACAGCAGGTCTGCCCGGCTCCCGCAGGCTCTGTGCGTGGCTGTCACAGCTGAGCCAGGCCTGCTGGTGTCCCCGCACAGGAGCCCAGCTAGAGCAGAGCGAGGCAGTTCTGGAGCAGGACCTGCGAGGGCAGGGGCCTGAGCTCCCTGAGCCGAGGCCACGCAAGGGCGCTAGCGCACTCCTGCCGGGGGAGCAGCCGCACACAGGATCAGTCTGCAGCTCGACACTGGTACCAGGGCTGACCCAGGAACACCACAGAGCCCCACTCCAGGTGCAGGCTCCCCCGCGCTCCTGGCCAGCCCTCTTGGCTTGGTGCCTGCTGCCTCCGCGGTGGGTGGCTAGACGAGTGCTCCTCCCAGGGGCAGCCTGGCTCAGGCCCGTCGGCACTGGAGGTGGAAGGGACAGAGCGGCGCTAGCAGGGGGCAGTGAGCTGCATGGAGTGCAATGTCTGAAGCCGTAGGGACAGTCTCAGGGTGGCCAGCGCCTGCTGCCGCAGCGACTCTGCTCTCTTCAGCTCGCTCGGTCAGCGCTCGGTCAGCGGGGCACCCAGAGGCATGGAAAGGAGCCGGATGCCCATGCGTCTCTCCTAGCTCACTGCCTACACTGACCGCACCAGAGCCCGGCATCCAGCATCCCACTGGCAGGCCACAATGCCAGGCCGAGCTGCCTGCCTGTACACCCAGCCCGCAAGGAACCTGACCCCCTGGGTAACACAGGCCAGACCAGCGGCTTGCGGAAGGCTCCGAGATTTATCCCAGCCAGAGGGGCTGATACACTGAAGGGGTCCCAGGGACCATTGCAGAGCAGTGGGAGAGCACCGGGCCTGGGGAACTGTGACGGGACATCCAGCCGAAGTGACGGAGAATGCACCACACACTAAGAGCAGCTGGGGCAGTGGCTAATTACCCCTGCTGGCAAAGAGCAGCCCCTTATTTCCAGTCTGAACGACTGACTCCAGCTACTGGATCGCAGAGCCCTCTGCTACCAAGTCTTCTCTCTTCATAGACTCTCAGAATATCAGGGTTGGAAGGGACCTCAGGAGGTATCTAGTCCAGCCCCCTGCTCAAAGCAGGACCAATTCCCAACTAAATCATCCCAGCCAGGGCTTTGTCAAGCCTGACCTTAAAAACTTCTAAGGAAGGAGACTCCACCACCTACCTAGGTAACGCATTCCAGTGCTTCACCACCCTCCTAGTGAAACAGTGTTTCCTAATATCCAACCTAAACCTCCCCCACTGCAACTTGAGACCATTGCTCCTTGTTCTGTCATCTGCCACCACTGAGAACAGTCCAGATCCATCCTCTTTGGAACCCCCTTTCAGGTAGTTGAAAGCAGCTATCAAATCCCCCCTCATTCTTCTCTTCTGGAGACTAAACAATCCCAGTTCCCTCAGCCTCTCCTCATAAGTCATGTGCTCCAGCCCCCCAATCATTTTTGTTGCCCTCCGCTGGACTCTCCAATTTATGAACATCCTTCTTGTAGTGTGGGGCCCAAAACTGGACGCAATATTCCAGATGTGGCCTCACCAGTGCCAAATAGAGGGGAATGATCACGTCCCTCGATCTGCTGGAAATGCTCCTACTAATGCAGCCCAATATGCCATTAGCCTTCTTGGCAACAAGGGCACACTGCTGACTCTTCCCACCTAGGCACAGACTCTGAGCACGTCTTCTCTGAAGGGCTGCCCTCTAACTCGCCCTGCAAGGCAGCTTTCTCACTCCTCCAACCAGCTCGCCTCCGAACCGCTGATGAAACAGCCCTTTCCAAGCCTGGACCCCGCAATGGACAGTATTCAAGTGGTGGTCTCACCACTGCCGTTCAACTCCCTGCTCCACTGAACATTCCCCACTTCGGACACCGCATGGCACGCTGAGCGCCTGCTTGCTGACTTTCCTCCATGACCCCCGTGTCAGTGCCCACCCCCCCCCACCCTGTACGGTCACCTGCAGCCCTCGCTGCTCCCCGCAGGGCCCTGCTGCACTCAGAGGTCTGATGGGGCGCAGCGTCCAAGTGACCCAGGGTGCATTCTAGCCATGCCAAGCTTAGCGGCGCCTGCAAGCGCTCTCAGCGGGGATGTTAGTTTTGCTTCCAGGGCCAAGACAGCTAGCAAATGGGGCAGGGAATTGTGAGCATTCCCCATTCCCTCTGGAGACCCCAGCAAGCCAGCCGCTAGCCCGCCCCAGTGATTTCAGAGAGAGCTTCCCCAGCAGACCCCGGACTGAGAGTGCTTCTAAGATGAAGCTCCAGCCACCTTGGGACCCTGTCTGTGACAGTCACAGCCCCCTGCAGGGGTGAGGAGAAGGAGCTCTCCATTCAGAGAGGTGCAAGTCCTGTAGGCCCTGCTGATGCATGGGGGGCCCCAGCTCCAGCGAAGTTGCTGGACACGCAGTGCGGTGCAGCACAGAAAGCACACTGGCTGCTGAGGAACCGGATACATACCGGGGAAGGGATATGGGGATCCCCATTGGTGATCTCAGCCTGTCTGTGATGGAGTGGGGGGGGGGGGGGGTAACTACCGCCATGGTAATGAGCGACCCATTGCTCAGTCAGAGCGAATGCTGCACCACCACCAAACGGCTAGTGCCACGTGCTCAGGGCATGCTGGGACGCCGGTGAGTCTGGCCCACCCAGGCACTCGGTACTAGAGGAGGGTATTTGCTGGCGTTGGGAAAGGCCAAGGAGAGGATGCACACACATAGGGGGAAGCGACCAGACCGTAACGCTGCACGGAGAGGCCTTCCAATGGCGTTCTTAAGGCTGGGGGTTGCTCTAGAAAAGCAGGGAAGGGATTAAAAATTAGAGCAGGAGCAGCCATTGCTGGCTCCAGCCTGCTGGCCGTCAGAGCCTGAGGGCTCCCTGCCCGGGATCAGCTGGGGTGAGCCACCATCTGAACGCTGCTGTCCCAAAGCGACCTGGGACCCCCAGCAGCCCAGAACGTCCCCGTTCCAGCTCCCAGGAACGGCTGCAGTGGCATTCTCACCGCCCTGAGGAGCACGTCCCAAGCTGGTGGGAAAGTGTCAGCCTACAGGGGTCGCACTTCCCAGCAGCTCAGGACTCGGCAGGCACACACCGTCCAGCGTCAGCAGCCCCCCGCAGCGGGCTAACCTGCAGAGGCCAGGGGCTCTGCACCCCTCCTCGCAAACAGCAGAGCTGCTTCTGTGCACGCTAGTTAACCAACCAGCCCCGACGGCGACAGGTCTGCAGCGTGCCCACCGCAGGCATACAGGGGCTCCTCGGAAGGGAGCCCAGCTGGCCATGGTAACTAGTGCTCCTACAACACACTGGGGAAGGCGAGCGCTAGCGAAGGCAGGGGTTCAAACGGACAGGAACAGCTTACCGAGGGGCAAGGGAATCTGGGGAAGTGGGTTGGGCTCTGCCCAGCACGCCCACAAGGACCTGCAAAGCCCAGCAGTCCCTGGAGCAGCCTGCGGGGAAGGCCCCTAGAGAACCTCCAAAGCTCCCGCGGGCCGGCCCCACCCCGTGCCAGGCATCGCGTGCTGGCAGCCTGCAGCTACTCGCTAGGCCACAGGACACCCAGCAAGGTAGTCCCTCACAATTCCACAGGGGGCTGTCACAGCCCGCCTGTGCCCAGCCCCTGGAGAGTCCCGCCTGCCCTGCAGCACTGCCTGCGCAAGGGGTCCCCTGGGGGCGCATGGCTGCCAGCACAGCTCTAGGCAACGCCGGGGAGAGGAGGAGGATTCCCACGGGGCAGAGCTCCCTGCCGCCCCCTGCGTGGCTTTGGCATGAGGGGTTATCCCAGTGATTTACTGTGCGAATCCCAGCGCGGCTGCACCGCGGGCGCCGGGGAACGACACACCATAACCGCCCAGGCCCAGAAGTGAAGTGCCATGTCAGTGTGTATCCTGCAGAGGAGCCAGGCTGGCTGCTCTGTGCACTCGACTGCTCTGCTGTTTCCTGGCCAGTACCAGTGGGCCTGCACTCGGCGCAGCTGCAGATTCTTGGACATTTGGCAGCCTTAGGGCTTGTCTACACAGGGAGCTATTCCAGGAGAGCCAGTCCGCTTTCCTTCCCACACTGTGGGTACGCTGCATTGGGGGTGCAGGGTCAGCGCAGGCAATCCCGGGCTAGACAGGCCCTGGGTCTGACCTAGCACGGAGCGAGTCACCTCCCAGCAGAGCCTGGCCTCACCTGACTGGATCCCGTAGCAACACCCAGTGCAGGTGAGGGGCAGCTAAGTGTCCTGCTTCCGACACAGCCCAAGCAGGTAAGCAGCTCGCCCCCCCGAAGGCCATCCCTAGGGTATCTGCTGCTACAAGAGGGGCGGCCAAGGCAAGGCCCAGCTCCAAGCCTCAGGGGGTTGGCTCGCTCAGAGACAGGTTCCAGCTGCGCTCACACATGGCGCCAAGTGGCAGCCGGAAAAGCAGATGAAGGATTCAGAGACTTGTGCCCAGAGGAGCATGTTACACGGACGAGTGGAAGCGCTTAGTTGAATTTGCTTATCCTACAGCAGACGGCTGCAGGGAGAGCGGAGAGGTGGAGCAGCGGGACAGCCGCACCCCGGGCCCTACCTTTCTTAGGGTCGCTGCCAGGGGGTCTCTCGCCCTCCTTGCTCTCCTGGTTGGCTCGGTCCTTCTGCTTCTTCTTGTTGGTTGCATCCTCCAGCCCCCGGGACGCTCTCCTCTGGCCTGGGGCACTGGCGCTGCTGGACATTTTCAGCCGTTTGGATGAGACAAACGGCCCACCGGGGTCAGTGATGGAGTCTGGGTCAGGGGTTCGACGCTTTCTTCCTGGCCCAGCTATCTTGGCGACTCTTTGTGGGCAAACTCTCTGGCAAGGAACAAGTGACCTAGGGAGACAAGAGCGCACAAGTGAGCGGATGTGGCAGTGGGGCTGGCCGGAGAAGGGCCTGGGCAACAGGTTCTGAGTCAGGCTCATGACAGAGGTCCTGTGACTTTAAAGCCCAGCCAGGCCTAAAGGATGCCAGGGTACTCCCCAGAGCAGCGTGCCAGAGTGCCTGGCCTGGCTCCAAGAACCAAGGATCCAAGAGCAGACTTCCAGCTGACTCAGAGGTGGTGAAAAAGTCGCATTCCAGGCTAGGCTCTCAGAGCATCACCACCAATGGAGAGCAGGACCCCCCGCTGACTTTACCCACCCCCAGGTGGGGGTTTTACCTGCCCCCGAAGCGGCAGGGCTGCCTGGGCTGAGCAGATCCAGACTCACAGAGTGATGCAGACAGTCAGCGGTGACGCCTGCCCAGGGCAATGCAAGCAGGCTGGCCAGAGGATGGCTTATCCTCACCCAGGGCTCGGATATACAAAATGCCCCATGCTCTTCAGACCCCGAGTAACAAAGTCTAACCCAGCTGCTTGATGCCAGAGAACGTGGGCCTGTCAGTGCTCCTGAGAGGAGCTAGTGGGATCTGCTGCACGGGTGTGCGAAGTCCGTCAAGCCCGGGGAGCAGGCGTAAAGCTGCCTGGCCCCCCATGGGAATAATGGTCCCCAGAGAAGCCTGCCAGAGCGCCGACTAGGCGCTCAGTTGTCTCCGGAGGTGAGGGCTGTTACTTCAGCACTCCCATGGGGGCTTAGCGGCCCCGCCTGGCACATGGCCATGGCGGCAGGAGTGGCCATTTAAAAGTAAACTGGCTCCACAAGTACTGGGGGCTGATGCCTGAAAACAGCGAAGGAAGGAAGGAAGGAATCGTTCTGCTCCTGGGCCGGATGGAAGCCGCTCGCTCCAGTAAGAGCCAGTCTCTTTTGCCCCTTCTGCAGCCCATGCACAGAGAGCCTGCCCACCCCAGGCACACCCTGCTTAGTTACGGTAGTGAGCAGCGACTGGGTGCGCTGATGAGACACCTCGGCCAGCGTACGCAGCCCGCTCCGGGCAGCAGACTCCCTGCCCATGCTCTGTACTGGGCTGAGGTCATCCTGGCTCTCCGGGCTCTGGCTGCCAGACCCTGGTTTCACTTTCACTCTCCAGCACTGAGCACAGGCCCACTCCAGGGACAGGCTGTCGGGAGCAGCTGGGGACCTGCCGCAGGTTCAGCTCCAGTGCCCGGCGGGAGAGCAGCAGCCCCTGAGAACAGCTGCCACCGCTAGTGGGGCGGCGAGCTGCTGGTCACTCCTGGCACACACACACCTGCCAGGCCAGTTACACACATGTACACAGCCCTGTCAGGGAGCCCAATCTCGGCGGTACATACAAAAAGGCTGCAGGCTTCCTGCTGCCCGGCTAGTGACCGGGGCCCTCGTGCTCTAGAAATGCCTAGGGCACCAAGTGCTGACTCCACGGGACACCTCCACACATTGCCAAACGGCGCTCCGCCCCGGCTCTAACCCAAGGACAGGCCCAGATCATCACACTGAGTGAACCGAGCGCCAGCAAGCAAACCTCCACCATGCCCTAGGAGCAGCCAGCGCTGAGTCCCACCCCCACCCTCCCAGCTGCCCAGGCACAGACTTCGGCCATCTTCAGAAGCCCTGACCCAGGGAGAGGAAGGGATGCAGAACTGGGCAGCTAATGGTGGAGAGTGGAGTGAGGTGCACTGCCAGGTCCATGCCCAAGCCGCTCCCAGCCAGAAGATACTGCCTCCAGGCAGTGCCTGCACAGGTCACGTTAACACTCTAACCCGGCTGCCTGAGAGGGAGTTTGCACATGGTTCCGGCAGGTAGCAATGCTGGGAGTCCCACTGCAACCCCATGGCAGCTGGAGCCGCTCTGAACAAGGTCCGTCTACACTACAGCACCTAGCACTGGGCTCAGCAGTGGTTTTTGGCAGTTTTCCTTGTGTGGCCAAGGTCTGCATGTGAAAAATCCAGGAGGAGCAGGATTGGGTCCCAGCCAAGTGGCCAGTCCATTGCATTCCCCTCCTGCGGGGCAGATGGCCACCCCGGCAGCTCAGGAGGGAAGAGGCAAGAAAGCGCAGCAAGGCCCATACCCCCACGTGAGGACTGGCACTTGCACCCCCGCATTTGTCTAAGCAGTGCAGCGGGTTTGGAAGTTTATTCTGCGCACGTTTGGCTTCATTTCAATGGCACGTAAGTCACCAAGACACCCCTTCAGCGAGGGTGCTCCCAGGGAGCTCCGAGCGTGCACGCAGACCTGCAGGGAGTTACGCCGGGTCTGCTCGTCGGGAGCAGGTCTGCGGGGAGGGCAGCGCAACACCCAGCTCCGTGCCTGCCTCTCCCACTTGCTCAGCGTGTTCACTTTGCTGCCTGCCTGGAAGACCCCTGGACAATGGAACATGCACCTTTGGGGTCTGGTCTGCCCCAGAGAGCCTGGGCTGACCCCTAGCTTCTAGGATCCTTTTCAGACACGCCCTGGTGCGATGCCAGCCCCCTTTGCTCCATTTCTGTACACTGGCATTTATGGACTGTAGGGATAAGTGCCTTAGACACACCTATGAGGTAGGAAGCTCAGACTGGAATTGCCTCCTAGCAGTAGCTGAAAGCCCCACATCCAAGTCCCTTCAAGCTGGACCCAAGAAAGCCCTGGAGAACGAACTGTGGGGAGCACCAGGGAAGAACTAGGCGAGCCAATAGTTCTCTTCTATAACTCCGCCACCAGAACGCCATGCCCCCGCCTGCGGACACGGGCTCCCCCAGGTCACAGCAGGCACCACACACCTTGGGGACACAGGCCTTGCTCTTCAGTTGACTGTAGCTGACAGAACTCTCCAACTAAGACCCCTATAGGCCCCCCACTGCTTCGGACTTGTTCAGCCCCAAGCACGCACGGGGCTGCCCTGTTACAGGCGCCATTCTAGCCTGACTGCTCTGACCTAATGCCCTCGGGCCCAGACAGCCTGCCATGCCGTGTTCCTCAGTCCCCACCTCCGGCCGCTCCTCCCAGGTCTGTATTTTGAAGTAGCCGAGAAGGCTGCTCCTCCCCTTTCCAATCGCTTTCGCTCTCCTCTCTCCACTGACTGCTGGCTTCTGCCTCTCGCGGTTAGAGCCAAGGCGGTTACCCTCGCGGGTGGGCAAAGACCGCTGGCTCTGCATCCTGCTTGTGGCACCGCTGCAGATTGCCCAGAGCCGTGCCCAGGGGCTCCTGCTTTCCTCGGCGCTTCAAGCACAGGCACTATTAGTACAACCGGAGGAACAGGCAGCTCCCCGTCAGGGCGCAGCCACACG